ACTTGGTCATCCTTGCCGGGAGGGACGTGCCTGCATTCTTGAGGGTTGGCCCTGGCCCAGCTCCCGCCACGCCTGGCGCTGCACCTGCTCCGGGACCGGCCAGGGACATTCAGGCTCAGCCGGGAGAGTCCCCCGCCCCTCCAGGGCTGCAGGGCTGCTGAAAGGCAGGAGCCTCAGCGCGGCTCCCACTCCGGACGCTGGGTCGGCTCCAGCCTCTGCTCCTCGGTTCCTGCTGCAGACCCCGTGTGTGTCCCCCAGTTCATGTGTGAAGTCCAGCCCTTTGTGTGCCGGTGTCAGGAGGAGGGGCCTTGGGAGGTGAGCAGGTCACAAGGGTGGAGCCCCCACGGCGGGATTAGTGACCTTCTCAGTAGAGACACCTGAGGACACAGCAAGCAGGCGGCCATCTGCACATCTGGAAGTGAGCCCTCTCAGAGCCCGGCCTCTAGCTTCTGGCCGCTGGGCCTGTGAGGTACTCTTGAGCTCATGCTGAGGTTGGTATAGCCTTGAGGACAGACACTGACAGTCTCAGTCAGAAACGCAAATGTCAAATCCTAAACAGAAATCTAAGCAAATCTGAAACGAGCTTATAAAAGACAATAGCGTGACCAATAGCCAGGGTCCTCGCAGGCTGCACGACAGAGGACAAGCCGGACGGGTTTATTCACAAGGCGTCATTGTGGGGGGGGGGGGGAGGCCCGGGGCGCTCTGCTGCCCTGGCTCCTTCAGACCAGGGGGTGAGGGGGGGTGAGTCACCACAACTGTCCAGAGCCATGTGCGTGTGTGGGAAGTGACCGTCGGTGGGGGTCTGGGTGTACCGGTGTGCTCGGCCACTGTAACAAAGCACCACAGACTGGGGACTTAAGCAGCGGACACAGCGTCTCACGGTTCCGGGCAGAGGTCCCGGATGGAGGTGTCCACAGGGGGGGAGCTGCTCAGGCCCATCCTTGGCTGCAGATGGCCGCTTCCCCAGGTGGCACGTCACACCGGCTTCCTTCCGTCTGCCTGGCCCTGCTCTCCCTCTCTTATAAGGACACATTGTGTTGGATCAGGGCCCACCCTGACCTCATGCTAACCTGGTCACTCTGTGAAGGTCTTCTCTCCAAACGGTCCTATTCTGAGGTCCTGATGCCAACATACGGGTTTTAGGGTACAACCTGTAACACCGAGGTGACCCCAAAAGGAGGGAGCCAGGGACATCAATACTCCATCTCACTCTGCTCCTTCTCGGACCTTCTGCTGGGCTCCCTGAGGCCCCACCATAACCCACTGGGCACAGAGTTCACTGATCAGCCTGTGAGACCAGCCTCCTGGGCTGGGAACAAGCCTGGGGCGGGCACATGGAAGATGCCTGGCTCACACTCTGACTCAGCAGTTCACTCAGGAATGCAAAGCTGGCTTGACCCTCGACAATCTATACATGCGAGTCACCTCTTTAACGGACCCACACTCAACACCGGGGGAGGGGGGGTAGGGTTAGAGGGAGCTCGTGCAGGGGAGGTGTGTGCAGGCCTGGGTCGGCCTCGGAGGGGAGGCTGGGCGGGGCAGCAGGCCAGGCTGGGCGAGCTGTGTTTTTGGGAGCAGCTTTATTGCCAGCCGGCAGGGAATGGCAAGGAGGCAGCATGTCCGGGGGTGGGGTCTCAGGGGGAATCTGCAGGCCGCTTAGGGGGCCGAATCCGGTCGTTGATCCAGTTCACGTAATTGGCCACTCGGGTGTAGACGCCGGGCTTGTTGAGCCGCCCGCAGCCATCGCCCCAGCTGATGATGCCGTACAGGTAGGCCACACCGTTCTTCTCACAGACCAGGGGTCCCCCCGAGTCCCCCTGCAGCAGAGCTGCCTGTCAGAGCTGGGGCCAGCTCAGGAGGCCCTGGCTCAGCTCCTCGGCACCCCGGAAACAGCCCCCCACACTCCCTGGCCACATCTGAGTTGTGTGACCTGGGAAGAGTGGTGGGCCTCTCTGGGCCTCAGTTTCCCCATCTATAACGCCTCAGGCTTGCACACACAGGTCCTGCCTGGATGAGTGTGCGCTGCTGGGACTGGCTGATGGGAGAGCCCGCGGTGAGAGCTCTGGGGGAAGAGGCTGGCCTTTGGGGTCACGTGGCCAGCCCTGCCCTCGGTTGGACAGCTGGGCTGTCCGGCTTTGTGACCTGCCCTTCCCTGGGCCTCAGGCTCCCCGTCTGTGTGCGGGGGTATCTCTGTCCCACTGTGGGGCCCTCCAGCAGCGGCGGGGAACAGGGATGGGGGACATGTGTGCTGTCTGCCTTGGCCCCCGCTGGCCCTGCGGGCCGGTCCCCTTCCCCAGGGCGCGCAGGTCTGAGGCTGGCTCACCTGGCAGGCGTCAGACTTGCAGTCGAAGTAGCCGGCGCACAGCATGTTGGGGCTGATGTCGGCCCCGTACACCTCGGGGCTGCTGCACTTGTGGTCGGCCACCAGGGGCACCAGCGCCTCCCGCAGGGAGCTGGAGTAGCCGCTCACGTCTGCGGGCAGGGACACGGGTGTCAGGGTGGGCACTGCTCCCTGGGCACCACGCTGCCAGCTGCCCCCACCGCCACGCACTCTCGTCCTGGTGGCCCCAGCCCGCGATCTGGCACTTGTGTCCGGCAGGGAAGGGGCTGCTGGGCTCAGGCAGGCAGATGGGCTGGACGAACTGGGAGCGGACGGCACAGCGGTCCCCCTTCTTCCTCAGCCGGATCAGGACTGGGCGGGAGAGAGGCCAGAGGTCAGCTGGGGTGGGGGGTCCATGACGGGTACAGCGCGGCCGCTGAGTCACACCAGGTGCGCCCTGCTGGGCGGGAGGCTGTGACCGGGAGACCCAGAGGGGGCAGGAAGGCCAGGCCAGGCCCCTCCCCACGCCTCTGTCCCTCCGTCCACCCCTCCTCACATTTGCGGACCTGAGGACTCTCTGAGGGTTCTCCGGGTGCCCACCCCACCCCCCTCCTGGCTGCACCCTGCCTGCCGGAGCCTCACCAAGGTCATGGTCACTGGGGTTGAACACCGAGTACAGGGGGTACGGGATGTACTTCTCAATGCGAAATGCCTGTGTCACGTCCGTCGTCAGGTTGAAGAAGTGCTGTCCCAGGACCACGGAGACGCTCTCCTTTGGGGGACTGTGGGGGGGGCAGCAGGGCTCTGGCCTCCCCTTGGGCCCTGAGGTTGGCTGTCCCTGCACCCATGGGGGCCAAGCGTCCCAGAGGCAGCCCCTCGGTCACCCCCGGGCCCTGTCAGCGCCCCCACTTTTCCATCTGCTGTATGGGGGTCCCTCTCGCTCTGCTCAGCCCTCCCAGGCCTCAGGCCTCCTGGGAAACGGCCCCCACGCCCGGGCAGCCGATGCCCAGCACACCGTGGGGCTCGGTGACCCCGCCCCCGGGCAGGGCCAGAGCTCAGGGCTCCTGGGTCTCGCTCAGGGTGGGCGGCCAGTGAGCTCAGGGCTGGGACACCCAGGCCTTGAGGGCGAGGGGAGCCAGCTCTGCCTGTGTGTCCTCTAAGGGGCGGGGTCCAAGAGTCTGAGCCACGCCCTCAACCTCCTGCCTTCTCTCCGGACCACATCTGTCCCATTCCAGTCTTGCGGCCAGCGTGCTGGGGTCCCCCGGTCCCCCCACCAAGCTTGGCCCCTCCCGGCTCCTCCCCTCCCCAGCCCCTTGACCCCTCAATCCCATACTCGGGGTCCCGTTTCCCAGGCCCAGCCAAGCGCCTGCGGAGGTAACAGGTCAGCACAGGACTTGTGCCCATGGAGCC